CGCACTTTTCGAAGACGCTGAAGGCCGCCTCGAAGTACCGCCTGTCCTCCAGGTACATGGCGAAGTTGAGCGCGATCTGCGGCGTGACCACCTTCAGCTCCACCATCAGGTCGAAGGTCGAGCGGCAGGTGGCCACCGTGCCCAGGTTCTGCTCCAGGTCGAGGCAGAGGCTCCACAGCTTGACGGAGCGGTAGAGCCGCTGCTGCACGTGGTTGGCGCCCGGCTTGTTCCTCACGTCCACGGCCTGCCGCACCAGCTCGAGCGCCCGCTTGAAGTCCTGGTGTCGGAGGTGCAACTCCACCCGCGCGCACCACACCGAGGCCAGGTCGTCTACAAACTTGAAATCCCCCTCCACCGCCTTTTCGTACACCCGATCAGCGCCATCCACGTCGCCCTTGGACTCGAAGAACCCGGCGTACGCGCTCCAGAGCTCCGTCACCCTGCCCACGGACTTCCGCGGGTCCACTGCAGCGACGGCCTGCTCGTATATCTGCTGCGCCCTCTGCGTGTCGCTCCCCATGAGTTGCGCGTAGTGCAGCCAGTTGTACACGTTGTGCACGTTCTGCTTCAGCTTGACGTTCGCCAGCAGCACCGCCCGCGTGTTGATCAAGTTCTCCAGCCGGTCCACCGCGATGACCACCTCCGTGGTGGCCCCCTCCGCCTTGTTCCGCTCCTTGGCGAACTGCTCCAAAAACCGCGCGTACACGTCGAATATCGTCGAGAAATCCTGCACTGTGGTCACCGACTTCAGCGCCTCCTGCAACACATGACTGCCGCCGCTTGCCATTAACCCACCTCGTAGACGTCACGCGCACTGTACATCTGCCCTCGCAAGATGTGTATGTCAGCCAGAATTACCCACAGCTGAGCCACCTGGTCGCTGTATTTGCCGATCCCCTCCTTGATGATCGCGTCAATCGGCAGGCTGCGGATGCGGTGCGAGTTGTCCCTGATAAGCTCGCACAGCTCGATCCAGAGGTCGTACTGAGTCCTTCCGCTCTCCGACACGAACCTGTCGTCGTTGAGCAGCTCGCACAGCACCACGCACGCCTCGTCGTACTCTCCGTGCCGCTTCAGCAGCTCGTACAGGGTCTCCCTGTGGTTCGGCTTGAGCTGGATGTACCTCGTCAGGACCGCCCGCCCCGTGGGTAGCAGGTCGGTCTCCGTCACGAACTTCAGGTAGTGCTCCCACACCATCCCGTGTTGCGTGATGGGCAGGTTGAGCAGCGCCCGGTCGTACGCGCGCCTCGTGCGCGTTATCATCTTCTGCGCTCTCAGGAACTGACCGTAGAGCAGGTACACCGCCGGGGCGGCGTACACGTGCACCAGGCAGCGCTCGAACAGCCTGTTGACTCGCACATGCGCCCCCGGGTGCCGGTGGAAGGGCCACTGTATCGCCTCGATGCTGTCTCTGAGGTAGCCGAACCAGACCTTGTAGCTCAGCGGCACGTACTTGACCGCCCGCTCGTACGTCAGCAGGATCCGCCGCGTGATGGCGTCCGGCTCGGCGTTACTTGCGTCCACCGTCACTGCATCCCCTTCTTCCCGCGACACCGCCTCCAGCGTGCATATGTCCCTCACCCGGTACACTCTGCGGTGGCCGCCCGGCGGCCGGAGCGACTTCAGCAATGCGATGTGGTCCACCCACGGCTTGCTGGAGTCCGGGTGCCTCCCTATCTCCTCGTGGAATCTCTCATCGTAGAGCGCCGCCAGCTCCTCGTTTTTTTTGCGATCGTAAGCTGAATCCAAGTACGCTGCTGCGTCGTAAACGTCCATGACAGCGCCATGCTGCCCCGAAGCGCCGCTCGCCATCGCTTCCCGCTGCGTTGCCGTGACCTTCCGGGCCGCAGCACAGTTGGACTGCCGACTCAGGCGCCCCGGTTTCGCCTCGCCCCGTGTGATCGGTCGGCGGGATTCCTCGTTTTCACGTCACTATTTTGCCGAAATGGCAGCAGACAGTTACGTTATATGCCTACGACTTACTGTTTGGTCGCCAACGTTTTCGGGGGTCACCTACACACTCCGCGCGCTGTCGCGCGCTATGTGGCTGCTCACTCCGTTCCGCCGCCAGACGCAACGTAAACCGTACGCAGTGGCAGTGGTGTCACCGGAGCGTGCTTTAATAGTCGCTGCACAAGACGCACCATGGATAGCCCGTCCGAGCGCCGCTCCTTTTCGCCGGTTCGGGAGTCCGGACACTCCCTCTTCGGCTCCACGAGCGAGCGGCGCTACCGCGTCTGGTTCGGCGGCATTCCGCCGTTTGTGACCAACCGCATGTTGATAGGTGCGCTGAAAGACGCACGAATACCCCCGTTTTCTGACTTGATGATGAAGAAGTGTCCCAGCCGGAGTTGGGGATTCATGTCCTTTCGGAGCTTCGAGGAGGCCAACGACGCCATAGATATGCTTCATGGGCGCCGTCTGTTTCCAGGTACGTACCACTGCCCTCTTTGACAGCTCTCCGACCACTGTGGTCGCAATCTGCGATGTTGAACTAGACACCGTCGGTGACTGCAGTGTTTAGCTTAACTTCATTCTGTGTCAAATGTAGTTTACCTACGTTTTTACACTTCTCCTACCCTATAAGTGGCGATTCACTGACGACACTATGTTTTTACATACTATAAACTGCTCATCCTCGCTCCAGAGTCTGATTTCACCATGGAGGTGCGATTCGCCAACCCGCCCGAGCCCAAAGACCACACGGAGTCCCACGCCAGTTTCGGCCACTCGTCCGAGTTCAGCAAGTTTGGGGGCAATGCCGGTCAGAACCAATCCCATCGTAACTCCTTCATGAGTTCCATCTCCCTGGACTACGACGCGCTGCAGGACGCTGATGCCTCGACCCTGTGGCACGTCTACAAGGACCCCAACGGCGTCCCGTACTACTACAACCGCATCACCGGGTGCACCCAGTGGGAGCAGCCCGTTCCTCCTCTGCTAGCTGTCGAGGGCGCCATTAACGAGCGCAACCGCATGGGTTCTCCCAGCGGCACTGACCTATTCATCTTCCACATTCCCTCGTGCTGGACCAACGCCGAGCTCGCAATGCACTTCACCCCTTTCGGCAACCTTGTTTCGGCCAAGGTCCAGAAGGACTCGCGGGGCTCCAATGCAGGTTAGTTTGCGTCTGTTCCACTGTCTGCCCGTTACCACCATCTCACCCTTTCACGCATGCGCAGGGTTCGGCTTTGTAAGCTACGACAACCCGCAGAGCGCTGCTGCCGCTGTGCGGCTCATGAAGGGCTACGCCACCAATTCCAAGTTTTTGAAGGTTGAGTACAAGAAGCGCGAGGGATCACATTAGCTAACGGCGTCCCCGCCGGCCTCCTGTCCGCTTATAGAAACATGCGTAATGTTCTAGACACGGCTATGATGAGTACAGCCAGTCCGATACCTGCGAACACCACGCGCATCACGAAGGTGTTCAGCCGCCCCTGCTTAAGCAGCTTCGTCAGGTACTCGTCCGCCTCCTTGATGGAGATGCGTGTTTTTTTCACATCGCTTTGGACGTTGTATATGGCGTTGCGCTGCTGGTACAGCTCCTCCGCCGCTCCTGCCCCGATCATCTCCGTCTCCTGCGCCATGGCGCACGACGTCTGCAGGTACTCGTATCCCTTTTGGAGGAGTTTGTCATTTTCTTGCAGCTGGCTGTAGTGACTTCCCACGTTAGTTTCAGCTCTTCCGCCTGCACGTTGCTGTTTTTAGCTTCTGGGTGACTCACTTCCGAGGAGCTCTGTGCGCTCCAGTTCCATTTGCATCACTTTGCTGCGATTAGATGCTTTTTTCAGCTCCAGCTTAATGCGGCGTATCTCGTCCAGGCGCGTCGCCGCGACGTCCCCGTACGAGGCGCGCGCCTCCAGTTCGAGCTGCCTGACCTGGGCGGCGTGATCCGGACATGACAACGAGCATGAAAAAGTGCTAAACGTCGACACACCACTCACACGCAGCATTTCGATCACTATGACGACGCATAAAAAGCTGTTGCAAGCTTGAAATGGCGTTCATAAGCCTGCCCTGGACCGTAGGATTCCGATGCCTGGTACAATACACATCGCCGTGGTAACCTCTCCATCCACAACCAGCCATCACGCTTACGCAAACTTGCAAAAATCCAATGCACGAATTACTATGTAACCGCACTTACCGTTTCATCGGCAGCCGACAAGGTTTTACGGAGCTGCTCGAGATTTTGGCGCTGCGTAGCGGCCTTTTCTGCAACAACGGTTATCACATTGCAACTAATAGATCAGTCCGCAGCAGCGGCGCAATACTTTAGTTAAACAAGGGGCATAGACATGATCCAGAGCCTCTCTGGTCCTTCCAGAGCGACCACAATCACAGTTCTCAAACATCGTGCCAACTTACCCAGCGCCCCCTGTTCGCAGGTCTTTAACTTATTTTCGAGTGTGAATAACAAGCCAGTGAGATGGCGGCGGTACTCTTCAAAAAGGTCTCCCATCTTGCCGCAATAATAAGAGACTGCCTGCTGATGCGTGGCATTAACTGGCCGCGTGTCAACGCAGAGTGATCACGCGCTCAAGCATATGAAAATTAAAATACGGACGACATTATGTTAAGCAATGTTATGCTTTTTGGATTCAGACGTTATTAAAAACTGTCCAAACCAGGAATCGAACCTGGGTTGCCACGGCCACAACGTGGTGTCCTAACCTCTAGACGATTTGGACCTTGCTGGGCAACCTATTTCAGCGTTTATATGGTCATAAGCATAACACATTTAATATTCGTACTTCTGTAATATGTATTTTTATTAAACACGTTTTCCTAATTATAGTTTTAAACTATAACAGTTATTTGGATCAGGAAGTCTCCGACAAGTAACTGCAATGATTGCGAGAGAATGTCACCAATTTTTACAAATGGCCGTGCGCTGTCACATGAGATTCTGCATTCAGGAGACTTTTATGGCGAGTTTTGAAAACAACCCTTGGAGTAATGTGAACTATACAGTAGTTACGTATCAAGCGAATTAATAAATGCCGTGACCCGGGATCGAACCGAGGACCTTCAGATCTTCAGTCTGACGCTCTCCCAACTGAGCTATCACGGCCTACGCGAGGAGTCGAAATCTATTTTGAAATTCGATATTTGGTGATTTAGCTGCAGCAACTAAAAATTTTCACGTTGCACCTTATGCCTGCCTCACCCTCCGAGGCGGCGACGACACCACATATTTTCGTCGTAAACCCACTTCAACATTTAGCGGTAAATAAATCGTTAAATAGACAAGGTTTACTGAGTCACGTTTCAGTGCCCTTGGCACTTTGGTTTCATAAGTCTACCCGTCCAGTTTTCATGCTGCGTTCGTAAGCCAGGAGAGCCGTGGAAAGATCCCTCTCCATTTTTTATTGTTTGTGACGAGGAGGCCTCATCGGGCGGGACATCGGTGATATTTGCGTACACCTCTGGCTGCCAGTTCTGCCAGAGTTTCTCGTGCCTTTGAGCCGCGGCAGGCCGCTGTCTGGGCGCCACCGGCTTAGGCGGCCTGCATTGTCTGCGGTGTGTACCTATTGCCCGTTGTCTGCGCGTAGGGAACCATGGCGCCTCGTGTCAGAAGCCGCGGATCAAGCTGCCAATCTAACTCCCGGTCGCCGACTAGGGATTCGCAGACCGCGTCGCCGACGATGTCTCATGGAAACGCCGATAGCGACTCACCAGGCGGATGGTGGCTTTACTCACAGGCGCGCCGCCTGTTCCGATCGTACCGGGAACGGTCCAAGACGGATGACATTCCGAGAGGGTCAACAGAATCTGACGCCCCTCAATCAGAGGCCGCACCGCCGCGGTCCATCTTCCGCACTGTCAGCGCATTCTTCATGCGCAACCAGGAAAGCGATGAGGACACCCCCTCTAGGTCGGTCACCAGGTCCACCCCGGCGTCCCCCGAAGTGGGAGCCTCCACTCCAGTGAGGAAGATGCGAAATCGGTGGCGCCTCAATGGAAACCAGGCTATGGCCGACAGCGACCCCGAGCGCGCTCCTTCGGGCAGCGACGGCAGCAGCGAGACCAGCTTCTCCCACGGGGTGAGGCATGAGACGCTGAGCGACCACGAGTTCATAATCCAGCGCTCAACTTCGTCCGCGTCTCTCTCTCCAACGCCGGTGAGCGCGCTAGACTCAGTGGACCACGAAGGCAACTGCGTTCGCCCCGGATCAGGCGGAGGAGTGGCTGCTGATGCACGTGGCCTTCGCAGCCATCGTGACGAGGATTGGGGCGCCGACCGTCTGTCACCCACCAACTGCCGCATGCGGTCCATTAACGACGGCCTAAGGGGTCTTTCCCTCGTTGACAGTGACGACAGCTGCGAGGAGAGCGCCGCCCCTCGCGGCTCCAGGTCGGCCATGGGCACCCGGTCCAGCAAATCTGGGAAGAACCTCTCACCTAACGCGCGAGGCGGTTCACGACGCGAGGCGTTCGATGACGAAATGCCCGGCCGCCTCTCCTCCAGGTCGTCGCGCCATCGTGAGCGTCGCTTCTTCAACTTCCGTAGCAGCATTTCCTCCCTTCGTCGTCATTCCTCGGCCAGCTCTATGTTATCCAACGCCGACGGCGACGATATCAGGGCGTGCAAAGCGCGCTTCGTCTCGCCGCGCCGCCCATCTCGCCCCGAACGCGACGAGGACAGCCACGGGTCCGTCTCCGACAGCGACCAGTCGCCCAGCAAGGGCCGCTCCCACAACGCCGACCTCGGCACCTGCTCTGCCTGCCACCGGCGCCTCGACTCCACCGGCTCCCACGACGACAGCTGCCCCCGCAAGGGCATCTCGACTTCCATCACATCGCGAAAGGAGCGTGTGGTGGTATTAACGTCCAAACCGCCTCCAGAAACCGGGCTCGTACCCCTCAGTCTCAGCAAGTGGGATGAGCAGTCCGTTCGCAAGCTGGAGGAGATCTTCAGCTCCCTTCCGCTGCTCAAGGACACCCCGCTGGTCGAACGCAGCGACTTGTTCCAGCGCAAGCTGATCGCCTGCCAGACTGTCATCGACTTCAACGCCAAGAAGCTCCTGCAGCGCGCCATCGAGATGAAGCGCCAGACCCTCCTGGAGATCATCGAGTACATCAGCACGACCCGCAACTGCATGAACGAGGCCGTTCTCCGCGACGTCATCGACATGGTGGCCGTCAACGTCTTCCGCAGCCTTCCCCCTCGCTCCCGCAAGAGCCCCTTTCTCAACGACATCAACGAGGACGAGCCCACCTTGGAGAAGTCGTGGCCCCACCTCCAGATCGTCTACGACGTTTTCCTCCGCGTCGTCGTCAGCAACGAGGTCAGCTCTAAGATGGCCAAGAACATGATCGACAAGCCGTTTGTGCTAAAGTTGCTAGGTGTGCTAAACTCCGAGGACCAGCGCGAGCGCGACTACCTCAAGACGATTTTGCACCGCATCTACGGCAAGATCATGCCGCTGCGCAACTTCATCCGCAAGTCCATCGACAACGTGTTCACCAGCTTCATCTACGAGACCGAGAACCCCTACGGCATCACGGAGCTGCTCGAGATTCTGGGCAGCATCATCAACGGCTTCGCCGTGCCCCTGAAGGAGGAGCACAAGGTCTACCTGAAAAAGGCCCTGGTTCCGCTGCACAAGCCGCGGTCCGTGCGCAGCTACCACGCCGCGCTTTCCTACTGCATGGTGCAGTACATTAACAAGGACCGCAGCCTGGCCACCCCCATCCTCCAGGCCATCCTCAAGTTCTGGCCGACGACCAGTGCGCAGACTGAGCTCCTCTTTCTGAGCGAGCTTGAGGAGGTCCTCAGTCTGACCGAGGTCACCGAGCTCAGGGAGGTGGTGCGCGCCGTTTCGATTCGCATGGCGCAGTGCATTTCGTCCGCCCACTTCCAGGTTGCCGAGCGTGCGCTCTACATCTGGAACAACGACCGCGTCGCGCGCCTGCTGAACATGCACCGGCAGGTTGTGTACCCTTACGTCGCTCGCGCCATAAAGAGCAATCTCGAGGGGCACTGGAACGAGGCGGTGCTCAACCTCTCCTTCAACACGGCGCGTCGGCTGTCTGACACCGACCCTGCTCTCTACATGTGGTGCGAGATGACGAAGCCTGCACCTAGGTACGTCCGCAGAGCGTTGTGTAACATCGTGCAGGTCCCCTAGGTCCTTCCCCCTCGCGCTCATGGGCGGCGTACCCGCGCCGTCTTCGGAGGCCGGCGAGCAGCCGGCCTCCGAAGGACCTTCCACGTCGCCTCGCGACGCTGATGAATAATAGCACTTAGATATGACGCATTAATCAACTCACGTGGGCCCGCATGTGCACGTGCGGCGCGGTCTCCGACCGTCCGGCTCGCAGATGCGCTTGAGCCCCTGCACACCCACCACATGGCAGCGTCGGGCGCCTCGGCGGCCCTCATCAACATTTTTAGCGCATTCAGGTCACGAATTTTTTGGCCGCACCCAGAACAATATGGACGCAACTGAGGAAGTTAACGTCCCGCCCGTTAATGTGGGCGACGAGGGCGTAAAAAACAACATGGAGCAAGACTCGCAGAGCGAGCAGAAAGTCGACTCCAGCCGCTCCCGCGGCTCGGATGCTGTGGCGCCTTCTCCGCGAGCCCCTGACTCTTCGCGCCTTCACCGTGCCGAAACTGACATTGGGAACTTTAACGCGTTGTCTTCGAGCACTCCCGTTTGCTACTGCGTGTACGAGGAGGTGGCGCAAGGCACCTTCTACTTGCAGTGGAAGGCGAGCACCACGGAGCCGATCAACAACCACATCATGATTTTCGTGCCCAGCAAGCCTGTGCCCAAGTTCAAGCTCGTTAACGACGGTGGCCGGTCTGAGCTGGCGACTCGCGTGATGGTTTGTTTATGCACGTACTTTTGTGTTATTTTGCGCAGCCTGACAAGGAGAAGTTCTGGTCTGCTCTCTGCTTATTCATCAAGTCCGCCAAGGAGTACAAGGCCAAGTTCCAGATCTTCCCTGGCTGGAACGAACGTGTGCCCTACAAGTCGGACATTTACTTCCACAACGGCACGAACACGGTTGGTTTTTTCGTTTTGCTGTCTACATTATTTCTAGGTCACGAAGGTTGGTTACGAGCCCGTGGAGTTGGACGATGTCGCGGCCATTGGCATTGCCGGCCGCTCGAACATTCTGATGGCGAACAAGATGTCAAAGGAGCAGTTCTCGCAGGGAATCCGCAAAGGTGGATACTGCTTGATGCTTTAAAATTATACATAGCGTTAATATTATCAATAACACGATCCTTTTCATTGACACACCTTATGCACGTATTAGTGTGTTTGCATCTTTCGACGATTTCCTTATTATTATGGTGTCTAGCGTGTGTATAATCAATATTTAACATTTGGTATGTCATATGACAGCAGTTACAAGACGCATGTGCGTAAATGCCGCAACGAAACATTGCTTGCATTGTACTTAAACCGCATCAGTTTTCACCATGTCGACAAATGTGTTCATGCTATTAACACATTGCTAAACGATTTCCGAGTGTCAAAAAATTTATTCAATCTTTTTCTTTCATTCATTCGCATGCTATCGTTGCATTTGTCGTCACAGAATTATGCAGCGCAGAAAACGAAAATAGAGGCGCTGCGACACTAGATTTTTCAATGTTCAGTTTCAAACTTAGGCCTCCAAAACGCTACTTTTTTCGGACCGCCGTACTCCGCTTCCAGGCAGGCCATGGGCGCCCGGTGTGTAGAGCAGGAGCTATACCTTCTCTCTACAACGGCCGTCAGAGTAACATCGCGGTCACGCACTAAAGCATAACGTATGGCTTGTGCTTCCAGCGTAATGTATTCGATGTCTATATTGCCGTCTAGTGGAGGCAATCGCACGCGCGTCACCCTATCGCTCTGAGGCTCGACGTAGTCACCAGCCCACACGCATACCATTTCGCCTCGAAACGTTTCTATTAACAGTTGGACGACGTTACACACACTTTTACGAATTCTCATTGCGGCTCTATGCCGACTATCTTTTCAGAGGAGCGCTTCACCTGTTGCCTTCGCTTCTTCTGCGCTAGCGGTCTCGTTTGGCTGCCCAAATTTCGGTAAGCGTCGAATAGTG